CCACCAGAGGAATTCTTCACATGCTTGGGGTAGACACTCCCCTAACTCACCAACAGGTAACAACGAAGCTCACTACCCAATGATCCCTGTTCATCCTGTTTAATTCTTGTCCATGTCTTCTCATAGACTTGTCAGAGTGTCCAACCAATCTGCCTAGGGGCCTTTCTCAAATTCTCCTGATGTTTTGGGTATTCCAATGGAGGCTTACTTGTCCATCATTTACCCCTCCCTCTAGAAACATGACTAGCTGGCCTTTTTTTTTCTTCAGTCTCCCTAATGACAAAATTTAGGAAACTTTGATAGCAACAGAAAAAAAAAATCCAAGTAACATAAAACAAAATCAGGGGCATGAAAACTGAAAACTTCACTGCATTATTTCTCCTTTTAGACCTTTTCCTCCAATTTATCCTCCCATTTTTCCATCATCTTTTTTGAAAAATAGATTCACTTTAAAAAGTAGGCTTTATTGGCAGGTTCTGTTTTTATATCACTATCATTTCTAGATATTTATAGTCCTGGTGCCCACTGTGGATTGAAGGAAAACAGTTCAATAGGATACTGGGACCTGTCATCTGACAATGTATGTAGCATTCTGTCCTGAGTCCCCTGCCTTTCTGCCGAGAAGTCCCTTATTCAGTCATCATTGAGAAATAGTCAGAAAGACCTGGGTTCAGAAAGACCTGGGTTCATATCTTCCTAGCTGTGGTAAGTAAGTCACTTTTTCTCATCTGTAAAATAAGGGGGTCAAGCTCAGTGATCTCTAAGGTCCCTTCCAGTTCTAAAGCTCTGACTTCTTGATCTTTTCACCAAGTATTTCTCCCCATATTCTGATTCTCCATCTTTGCCTCCCTCCTGGCCTAGCCTTGTGATGTTGCTAGAAATGTAGGCCCTGACTCCACAGCAGAGCCCAGAGCTCCTTAGAGACCATAAGGATGTGACAGATGTGACATTTTTCAAAGTGGAGCAAAAGTTGAGAGCAAAATGATCCTTTTCTGTCTGTTAAGCTACTAACAAAGGTCAGCTAGGTGGTTCAATGGATAGAGGGCTGGACCTGGAATCAGGAAGACATCTTTGTGAGTTCAAATCTGCCTTAAGACACTGACTATATGACCCTAGGCAAGTCACTTCACCCTGTTTGCCCCAGTTTCTTCATCTGTCTTTGCCAAGAAAACCCCACGTGGGCTCACGAAGAGTTGAACATAACTGAACAACATTCAAGAACAGTCCCAATGCATGTGCTCAATAGCTAGGACCTTCTCATCCAAATCCAATAACCATTTACGCAGCATCAGATGGTGAAATGAGGACTGGATTTGGAGTCAGAAAGTCTCAGTTTGAATCCTCCTTGATAAAATGAGTCAGTTGTATTACCAGATTATCTGGAAGGTCCCTTTCAATTTTTAATCTACGGACCTTCAAGTATTGAAGCAATGAGGTGTAATGGGCAAAGCACTGAACTTGAAGTGGGTTCAAATGCCATCTTGGAGGAGCTGTGTAACTCTGGGTAAGTCACTTAAACTTTCTGAGCCTCAGTTTTCTTATTTGGCTGGTTGGACTTGACTTGATGACCACCAATGTCCCTTCCAACTCCAAATCCACGATTGCTATAATCAGTCTATGATCCCTAAGGCCCTGTACTAAGCACCAGGGACTCTCCTCTCAGTAACAATAACATTAATAGCAACTCATGTTTATAAACTGTTTTTACAATTTATCAAATGCTTTCTTTCCAACAACCCTGGAAAGTAGGGGAGGCATGTACGTAAATTACTATGATACAAGAACAGGGAAGGACTATGACAAGTTCATAGGAGAATTTCACATGAGGGATTTGTGAGGGAAATAGTGAGAAACCTGAGGGAAACATTCATTTTAGCTGTCAGGGAGGTCAGGCAAGGCAACGTTTTTATTAAGTGCTTACAATGTGTCAGGCCTAGTGCTAAGGCTTTGGGTATATAACTATAAACAAAAAGAAAGGTAGTCCCTCCCCTCAAGGAGCTTACATTCTAATGGAGGAAGACAAAGGACAGTTGAAAAGTTGGGGAGGCAGAAGTGGTAACCTGACAAAGTCCTAAGCATCAGAAGCAAAGCTAATAGGAGAATGACACGTGGGCCCTAGGAGGGAAAGGAGGGGCTTCAAAAGGAAGTGATCTGTGAGACAGAGGGCAGCTATGGGGGGGGGGGGCTGGAATGAACAAAGGCAGGGGAATGAGAAATAGCAGGACAGAAATAGGGCATAGGGAGTCATGTGGTTTGGCTTGAAGGGGATCATAGAATATAAAGCTGGAAGACTTTGGGGATCATTTAGCCTGGACCCTTCATTTTACAAATGAAGAAATGAACGTTAAGTGATTTGTCTAAGGTCAAACAGGTAGTGACAGAGACAGGTCTAACTCCAACCCAGTGCTCTTTCTACTATATCAGATAGGACTGAAAAGATAGATTAGAACCAGGTAGGCCTTCTATGCCAGGATCAAGAATTTCTATTTTATTTAACAGATACATGTAGTAGGAAGCCACTGAATATTTTAAAGTAAACGATTTACTTGTTTAAAGCATTACATTATGAATTGTATGAAGGGAAGTAATGTGAAAGGAAAAAATCTCAACTTAGACACTTCTGCACTCTACCTTAATAATTAATATGAGAATTCTGGGAGTTGTAGTTACCTTTTGAATAGCATTAATTTATTCATTCATTCAGACTTCGACAAACATTTATTGTACACCATGTGACTGAGTCATTTATCTTCTCAACCTCAATTTTCTCATCTGTTACATGGGAATTATAATACTTTTAGCAACTGCTTCATAGAATTGCTGTGACATCAAATATCATATAATATATGCAAAGTACTTCATAAGCTAGAAGCTCTATAAATATCTATAATTATATGCAAATAATTATAACATAATAATTATGTATCATTAAGATTATATAATGAAAATAATAGCAAATTATGATCATTACCCTAAATTCCTAGTCCAATGTCTCAACATGGCTTGGAGATATGAAAATGACATTTACAAAGTGCACTAAATGTTGCAAGATATTTTACACACAGCTCTCATCTGATTCTCATAACAATCCTATAAGATAAGTACTACAGGTTTTATTATTCTCATTTTACAAACAAAGAAACCGAGACTCAGATAAGTTAAGTGACTTGCCCATGGTTCCCCAGATGGTGTCAAGGGCAGGACTTGAACCCAGGCCTTCCTGACTACAAACCCAACATTCTCTGCTATTCGATATTGTCTCTCTGAAGTAAGCCCAGAAATGTGAATTGGAATAAGACTAGGAAAGTCCTTGAATGTCAGACTCATTCAATTAAGTAGAAGACTGATGCCTTCAGATTAACTATTACATTAATGGGTAGGATGGATTTTAAAAGGGAAAGAAAAGAGGTGAAAAGATCAATTAGGAGCCTATTGGAGTAGACTAGGTTGAAAAAAATGAGTATCTGACCTAGGCTGGAGTAGAAATAAAGGAGATAGATGGTAGCAATAATAGTCAATTAAACAAGATTTACTTCAAGTCCCAGTTAAAATCCCATCTTCTACAAGAAGCCTTTCCTGATTCTCCTTAATGCAACTGCCTTCCCTCTGCTAATTGCCACCACTTCATCCTGTGTATAACTTGCTTGTACATCATCATTTGTATGTAGAATGGGACTGTCTTTTGCCTGTCTTTGTTTTCCCTAATGCTTTGCCCAATGTCTTGCATGTGGTAGGTGCTTAATAAATGCTTAAAGACTGACTAACTTGACAAGTCAAGTGGATTGCAAGTGAAGATAAGGGAGAAGGAAGAGTTACAATTTTTAAAAAATATTCTTAAAAATAATTAATTTATTTTTAGTTTTCAACATTCACTTCTGTAAGATTTTGAGTTTTAAATTTTCTCCCTCTCTCTCCTCTTCCCTCCCTAAGATGGAATGCAAATAGGCTCTGCTTGTACATTCATATCAAGTATATTTCCACATTAGTCATGATGTATAGAAGAATTAGAACTAATGGGAGAAACCACAAGAAAGAAGAAATAAAACAAAACAACAAAAGAAAAGAAGAGCAAATAGGATGCTTCCATCTGCATTCAGATTCCATAGTTCTTCCTCTGGATGTGGATAGCATTTTCCATCCTGAGTCTTTTGGAATTATCTTAGATCCTTGTGTTGCTGAGAAAAGCCAAGTCTATCAAAGTCAGTCATCACATAATGTGGCTGTTACTGTGTACAATGTTCTCCCGGTTCTGTTCATTTGATTCAGCATCAGTTCATATAAGTCTTTCCAGGTGAGTTACAAATTATTTTAAAGTTTCAAGCATGAGTGATGGGAAATGGTATGACAGAAACTGGGAAGCAGCTAGGTGGCACGGTGGAGAGAACACTTGCCCTGAAGTTAGGAGGACCTGAGTTCAAATCCGGCTTCAGACACTGGATACTTACTTGCTGTGTGACCCTGGGCAAGTCACTTATCCCTGATTGCCTCACAAAAAAAAAATGTGACTATGCTCAGATTCCTTGAGAATCTGGATAATATGGCAGATCTTTAATAAACCTTGTTTTTGGCTGAAAAAAAAAAAAGAAACTGAGAAATCAGGAAGAAGGGGCTTGGGAATATACGACAATGTTATTAGTTTTGGACATGTTGCATTTGAGTTGTCTGAAAGACGTCCAGTAGCAAGCAATTGGAGCCATAGGTATAAAGACCTAGAGACAGGTTGGGTAGGATTGTCCATAGAGATTGTCATATTTGCAAAGAGGACATAGCACCATGGAAGTAGATCATCTTTCTGTCTTCTCCCTTCAAATCTCTCTTCCATTCCCCACTCTCAAGGTCTTCTTCCATAATTAGCCTTCTGTCAAGTCCTTACTCTATTGCCATCACTGGACTGTGTGGGAATGCTATGACTTTAAAAATCTAAGAAGCAGCATTAGAATACTGGATACTTCATAAAGTGCACAGGACACTCTATTTCCCAGTCACAAAGAGTTCTTAGCAACCACTTGGCAAGGAGTTGGGAGCCAGGAAATTGACAGTTGTTTTCTGGAGAGGAGAGGGCAGAACCAAGGGAGTCTGTCTCAGAAGATTTGACAAAGGAAAGATTTAGAAGGAAAGGGCTGCACCATGGCATATTCTCTATCTCATCGAAAGCCTATCTCTTTCGATGTAGGGAGAAGAATGATTTTCACAGGTAAATCTGAGAGCTTCAGCATGAGCTTGCTACACGGAAATCTTGTCTTCCTCTCTTCTCACATGCATGCCTGTGCATATATATGAATTTAGAGTGGCTATATTCTTGTGGCATGTTTTATGTAATTATACATGTAGTCTGCATACTCATAGGATGTTTCTACAGACAGAGCAGCAACAATGTACATATCACAGATCAGACAATCAGGTAACTATCATTTCTTAAGCTCCTATTATGACCCAGTGAGTATACTAAGCATGGGGCACATAAAGAAAGGTAAAAGAGAGGCCCTGCTCTCAAGCATCTTACAGATTACATAAAACCTACATTATTCTCCAAGAGGTTCAATTTTTCTCAGTTTTCACACTTTTTACTGTGGTACAAATAGTCAAACACTACAGAGCCCTTCCTTTTCTTCATTAGTTATTCTCATAGAATACTTTTAATTCCCATTCATGTATCAAATACAAAGGTGAGACAACTTTAAGAAGCTTTATATGACCATAACTCCAAAGCTTGAAAGGATTTTAGGGATCATTGAATCTAAGGGTTCTTAGTAGATTTCAGGGAGTCCAAGAACTTGAGTGGAGAAACGTTACATCTTTATTTCAATATAATTGGTTTCCTTTGTAATCCTATGTATTTTATTTTATACATGTAAAATCATTTTGGAAAGGGGTCCATAGGCTTTAGCAAAGGGGTCCATAGACTCTACCCAAAAGGGCCCGTGGCACAAAAATGGTTAATAACTACTGATCCAATCCAAGTCCTCATTTTTACAGATTAGGAAATTGAGGCCCATTGACATTAAGTGACTTACCCAAGGTTATGCTGTCTGTAGCGTGCCTCAGAGGTGAGATACAAATTCAATACTACTTACTTTAGAATCAGATCTTTCTACTATACTACTCCCTGGGTACTGACTCGCTTCCTTTTGTCAAAGGTGTCTTTCAATACCTTTAAATTGTGTATTTGTGAACATATAAAAAATTCCTAGAGAAAAACTTGAAGAAATTTGTGGACATATAAAGAATTCCTAGAGAAAAACTTGACGAGATGGCACAGATCCTCATAATGTCCCTAGAGCTAGGGAGAAGTTTACCGAGGAAAATTTGTTGATTTTATCTTAGAGGCAAAGGTTTACCAAATAAATTAAGAGAATAAACAGGATTGTGGGGAGAATGTTTCAAATACTTGAGAATAAACTTTTTGAGCACCTTCAAGAGGTGTTACATTCAATTGTCTTGCTAATTACAAATACTTTTTAAATTCCCTATTTATTGGCTACTAGCTAAACTTAGCCCTGTTGCAATGGTCATCTTGCTTTAAGGTAATAAATTGACATATAGATAATGATCTATCCATAATCCAGTTTTCTTTTATTCAGACTGGCCTTCCAGTTAACCCACATGAAGGAAGTTTTATTGTAGATGAGTCTTGGAGAAAATTTCCTCACTTTACTCATGATTTGAGCAAACCTAGAGAAGTAACAGGCACAAGGTCACACAGACTAGATGAAAGAGTTCTATAGCTTTCGTTTTCTGGTTGTAAGAAGTCTTCTCTTCTTTTCTGCTTGTATCTACCTGTCTCTCTCTGTTTGTCTGTCTGTCTTTCTATTTTTTTTGTTTATTACCATGTCTATGATTTAGTACCTATAGAGAGCTCCTGAGGAAGGATGCCTTCTACCAAAGATGACATCTGGGTAATTTATAGCCTCAAAAAGTTGCCTTGGAGAGCTGAGTGGTTCATTGACTTACTCAGGGTCTCCTACCTGCGTGTGGGCCAAAGGTGGACCCTGAACTGCCTTTTCCTGATTTTGAGGCCAGTTCTCTATCCTCTAAGTCATACTGTCTTCTATGGTAATTCTACTGTGCCTGAAAGGAAGATCGATGAATAAAACAAAAGGTTAGACTGGAGTCCTGACAAGGAGGAAGTCCTTGTTCCAAGATCTATGAGCAACCCACTATGAATATTGAAGAATTTCAGGCTGCAGAAGACTGATCAAAATGCAAAAGTCCTGTTAGAAAAAGATTAGGAGTGGCAAAAATCTGCCATAGGCCATTTTTATGTATGAAATTGTAAGTGGTAGAAGAAGTGCGGAAGTGTATATGCAATTTGGAAAAGAATTGCTCCATTAAGCTGACTTGTGAACCCATTAGTTTGTGTCCGGTTTTACCCTGTGAAGCTGCCACACTAACAGTACTGTCTAAAATTAAATTACTTTAAACATGGAAAATGACTTCACACTGAGCTGGCAGTGGGTTTCCTTTATGGAATAAGGAATTTTCAAAAATATTATAAAGTCAACATAGGCAGTTTAAAAGGAAGCCTGGTATAGTGAATTAAGCAAGAGTTGGGCTTGGGAGTCATAAGGACCTGGGTTGAAGTCATGCCTCTGATAACCTGTGGCTCTGTGACCTTGGTCAAGATAATCAGTCAACTAGTATCTATTAAGTTTCTAGTATATTCCAGGAACTATGCTAAGAACTGGAATTAAAAAGAAAAGAAAAACCCATCCCTGCTTGCAAGTTGTTCACCATCTATTTTTATTTCTAAGTGCCCAGGCTCTTAGACTATTGGTTTCCCAAGTGTAGTCCTGAAGGACCATCAAGGATCATGGCAGGACCTATAGAACTGTGGCTGATCTGCAAGGGAAATGAGATCAACCAACTAGAAACTGGAAAGACTAGTCACTTGTTAAAATAGCCAATCACAGGGCTTGTCAGAGCCACACCTACCCCTATTTCCATAAATTCTTCTGTTCAGCCTCCTCCCTAAGCTATGAGAGCTACCCAGCACCTGCACAGGATAGGGTTGGGTACATCAGGGCAGTCATAAGCTAAAAGTCTTCCTGTTTCATACTAATAATACCTTCTTCACTGAAGGATGCTCTCAATATATGTGTAGATGAATTCCATAAAAACTTAATCAATAGAAAAGTAGGCATGTAGACTGAGTTGATATTCTCTCAGTGGTCTTTTACAGAAATTAATGAAGATTTTTCAATATCTTTGGTAACTATTCTTCAGATATCTTCTGAATATAAGCACCTTCACAATTTTGCTGTTTCCAGCATGAATTTCCTCATGACTCATTTGGTCTAGTCTCCATTAGATTATGGGCTCCTCAAGTGCAGGGCTTGTCTTTTGTCTTTCTTTTTTATGTCCAGTGCATAGACCAGTGCCTAGTACATAGTAGGTATTTGATAAATGTTTACTGACTGACTGACTGAATCCAGCTGCTTTTCATGACTACGTTCTCTTAAGTACCATTTCTACCTTGTTTGTAAGCACATCTGAAACTATGATGTTGGATTCTAAGTGTGGTGGCTCTCTAATCCTTTTTGATGAAAAATATTTGTTATAAAAATCTTTGTTTCTATTTTGTTTCATTTGTCCTTCCATTTTCTTCCTTTAAATGTTGTTGGGATGACTTTGCTTAGTTGAATCTCTCACAGGGTTTCTTTAACCTGGTTTTACCTTCCATTGTTTCTGCTCCCAGTGTCTCTGCTCATATTTTTCATCATTATGGATGAGCTTTATTTTTTTAATTCTAAACTTGTGTTGGTTTTGATTGCCATGTTTTTCTGCTTCACAAGGAATCCAAGTATTTGCTGAGTAGGCTTTTTAAAGGCTCTTTTGGTCCCCTTATTACAGCAATTGATTAACATCAATTAAAATTCCTTGTGAAATTAGTATGTGCCCATTCTTTCATCCATATCCCATTTTTCATAATCAATAACTAATTTAAATAGTTCAGGAGGGAGATCTTAATTGAATATCTGATCTTTTTCTCATTTTGCACTTTCTTCTAGCTTTGTACTAATTTTGATCTTATCTATAACAAGCTAATTGTCTGACTGTATAATTTAGCTGAATCAGGAATGACTCCTGCATTGGTAATGAGTTATTTCCTATCTGATAAAATATAGTCAATTTGGGTTTTGTGATGTTATATCTAACACCTATTTCTTTTCTTAAAAGAAGTATTGATATATAGATGTGAGGCTTCTGTATAGTCTATAAATCCTTGACCTTTCTCTTTCCTTCCTCCTGATTCATATTTTCTATTATATTTTTCATCATACTCACCATGACCATATTTAGACTGAACACCAAATTATGTGTTGATTTATTTTGGAGAGTCTTATTGAAGTTTTCATAGTTTCTCTATCATGTCATCTCTTGTGATAGAAGCTACAATTATTTCATTATTGTTGTTCAATTGTTTCAGTCATGTCCAACTCTTTGTGACCCCATTTGGGGTTTTCTTGGCAAAGATATTATAGTGGTTTGCCATTTCCTTCTCCAGCTCATTTTACAGATGAGGAAACTGAGGCAAAAGGGTTAGGTGTCATACAGCTAGTAATCTGAGGCCAGATTTGGACTCAGGTCTTCTTGACTCCAGGCCCAGCACTCTATCCACTGTACCACCTAACTGGCCATTTTCATTGTCGTGTTTTGCAAATACTTAGTATGAGCACTGCTATGTGAGATGACCAAATGTCACATGAAATGGTGTGTCTTCCTTCCATTCAGTGCATGACGCAACTTTGCCAACTCCTTTATTTTTCTTTCCAAGGAGAAAATGAGCCGTTCTTTCATTTAGATGCAACTTCCTTCTTTATTCTCATTTCAGCAAGAATATCAAAACGGATAGGATTTTAGTTCCTCCATGACTCTTTCCACTTGCTGGCCATTGTGGAGCCTTTAGATCTCACATTTAGAGTTCCAAAAGCTAAGTTAAAGTATACAGATAGTTGAAGAACTGTGTGATTCTTTACACCCTCTGTCCCATCCCACTTCACCCTCCACCCCCAGCTCTACCAGCGTCACTGAAGAAAAAGAAAAGGGTTGCCCAGCACTGAGATCCATTTCACATTTTTGTGTGTGTGTGTGTGTGTGTGTGTGTGTGTTTCATGAATTTCTGTGGCCAAAATTTATCACCAAGTGGTCATGAGAATCTTTGTCCTTAGTTAAGCTGATCCAAGAAGAAGCCTT